TTTTTTTTTTTTTTTTTTTTTTTTTTATCTCTCAGAGGTGGAAGGATATTGCTGAATAAGGGATCTCCAATCCCATTTACTTTCTAGCTGACAAATCATGGATACTTGAAATCAATTTAAATGTCCTTCAGTGCATATAGTTTATCACACAGGCCCATTAATTAATTTGTTTTTCCATTGTGTAATTTTGTATGATGGTTGGTTGTAATACGGCAACAAAACTGGATCTTCAGAGATTCATTGTTCTGTAATAGTTTGGAAAATTAAGTGTCTAGTATATAGAACTATTAACTTAAAACCTATTTTTTCCTACATGTGTGCAATGAAAAAATAGTCTCTGAATAATGAATATCATTCCTGTATTTGACTGATATCTGAAAGTAATTTTGAAGAACTTTGATTATCTTGTCTAAAGTACCTCTTGTGTGTTTTCTGACTCCTTCCTGCTCAACATATGCTGTAGGGCATTTTGAAATGAAGGTGAGTGAAACTGATACAACCCATAAAAATAGATGAATGGTATTAAGCCATTTGGTTTATCCATGTAATCATGAGCTGTGGTATTCCTTGGGCCTCCACATCGTTCTTTCACGTAAACATGTTACCCTGTGGCTGGATTCAGTAAACACTTCCCCAGAGCTTTTCACTGGCCATGGAGATGGTTGGTACAGCAATCAAGCAGACCTGCTTTCCCTGGACTCTGTACAGCATCAGGAGCCTATTGGAGCTTCTACTTACCATAGCCTCTGGACTACTGGAGGGAGATAGTCCTCTCATCTGCAGTTACTGGAAACCGTGGTGCCTCCAGCTGCAGGTGTCTGGGAACCTGCAGATCACTTCCAGCTTGATCATTCTCATTCTGCACTCTCCTGAGCAATTACTGCAATGCAGAGCTGACAGTATAGTTCCTGAGACAATATATGCACAGTCTTATGTCTCCAGTTATTCAGGAAAAAAAACTGTAACCCCTTCAGTAGCCAGATGGAAATTTTGAAATTGTTTATTCCATGCCATAGAACCCATGATGTCATTTAGCTTTCACTATGCTGAAAACAAATCCAAAGGCTCCTCTACATGTTCCCCCTCTGCTTTATTGTTTTTGAGATGGAAGGGTAATTGTTCTTGGCAAGGGTGACTGGATTACAGCTGCCTTTGACTTCCAGGTTTTTTTAGTGCCATCATGGTGGCTAAATATGTGCAGAACACTGTGACACAGTGGGGAAAATGGGATTTAATTTCTTTGAAATTAGAAAAAAATGTGATTCTTTCCCTTGGAAGACAATTGCCAGAAAACCAAATCGATTCTATTTTATTTTTAAGACTTGGAAGGTTTTGATTCTGTAATACCAATTGCTGAGAAGCTTAATCATCCAACTACAACCAGACCAAAAGCTACTGGCAGGCGACCACCCTCCCAGTCTCTCACATCTGTAAGTTAATTTTCCTTTTCTTTAAAAACTATTTTTAAAAATATTTTTTCTGAATTCCCCCCCGGCTCCTACCTGTGTTCCTTGGTGCTTTTACTACTTTTACCCATCTGTTCCTTCACACGTACAATGAGGCAGAGAGATGCAGATCAGGAAAAATACTGTCAAAAGGCTGCCAGTGTTTTGAATACTGATGTTTAAAACATTCCCTTCTTTCTAAGGTTTATACCCCCTTATTTGAGTGCTGCCAAGTGTTCCTTGCCAGCCATGACTGAGCCCAGAAAAATCCCTTATAAAAATCTTTGGAATAGACTAATTTGTGTGAAGTGTTGAGGATTTTGAAAGCGTTTCCCAAAAGAAGCATTTCTTTTGGTTTCTTGCGGACATTTACAAGATTTTGAGGACAAATAGACCACTCAGTCTTCAACAGCCCTCCTTGATCTATCATGTGTTTCTTCTCATTAAGGTCACAGCTGTAAATACAGGGTGATTTAAATTTCACTCTCTAATATCTATCTTTGGACAAGTTGGTCTCATAAACAATACTTTGGAAAACACTGCTTAGTTTTTCAATGTCTTCTCCTTTGGTGTTTGGGGTTGGTTTGTTTCCATGCTTTTTTGTGTTCTGGAATATCAGAATGAAAGTAACTACTGATGTTTACCTGGGTCCATGCTGCTGAAGTGGAAGGAAGCTAAAAGGATTATTGAAAAACTAATAGAACTCAAAGAAAGAAAATGCTTTCAAAATTGACTGCTGTCATAAGTACAGAAATATAAAAGAGCAGTATAGAGGTTTTCCTTCCCCTGTCACACCTATGAAGAAAGGATCAAGGGGTGGAAAGAACCTTTTCATACCTTTACCAAGAGGCTGTGCACAAGGCAGCCCTGCAGTACCAGCACCAGGCACTGGCAATGGCTGGGGCCTCTGAAGAGCAGCAGGGTGAGACCTGCTCTGCACAGAGCCGCGGCAGAGCCGCCCCGGTGACACAGCTGGCATCCCCACGGCACAGCGCTCAGCCTGGGACAGGAGGCGGCCTTCGTCTTGTGATATCATGCAGTGCAAAGCTGCAAATAAATGTTGAATTCAACTCTTAAGAATATCTTATTTCTTGAATGCTTTGAAAGCAATCTAGCTCTGAAAATAAGACGCAAAAAGAGGGAGTAGGGGGACAAAGAGTCCTGATTTTAAGTATTGTTACTTTGAAAATGATAGCTAAAAAAGTTCTTGTACAATGAAAGTTTCTGTGCTTTTCTTTTTCTTCTTTTGTGATGCGTGTTTGCCTACACAGTCATCCCTTTCAAGCCCTGATTTCTTTGACTCACCAAGTCCTGAAGATGAGAAAGAAGAACATGTTTCAATTACTCACAAAACTCTTGAAGTGTCAAGGAAATCAAGAACTGTTACAATATCACAAGTAAGTTAATTGGAATGCCTCTACATAACCTTATCACATGCATCTTCTTTTTTTAAAGCTGAAATATTTAAAATTTAATTCAACAGTCACCTGGTAACTGCCCACTTAAAGAAGCTTAAAATGATAAGTTACTAAAGATTGTTCTGTGTTTGAAAGGCAAGTCTAAAGTGAATTGCACAGTTAAAATGTCTCAAATAACCATACTGTGAAAAAAATCCTTCTTGTGTAAATGCATTTGACAGAATCAGAGAGGATGGGAAATAAATTTTAGAAAATAAGACCCTGTCTTTTTGCAACTTTAAATTGCATTTACATTAGAAGAGTCTGTGAGCAGAGTAAATACAACTCTTTGACACATTGTAATAATATGTGAATTTAAATTTGCAAATATAATCTCTTTTTATACTGGTATAATTGTATTAATTTTTTAGGCTTGTGTCATTATTACTGTGTATTGGTAGACTACTACAGTGGAATCAAATATTACAAAAGGAGCATGTAGGTCAGGCTTTAAAGGCTGGAACTATTTTTTAGTACATAAGGATACCTTTAATAATTAAAATACTACATTCTAATAGTTTAACAAGTATTTGAAAGATGAAGTCATGCACTTCTGTGATCAGGTTATAAGGATAATGTTTTGCTATGTAGCTCCCTCTTCTGGGAGTACTTGCACCAAGAAATACTGCTGGGCCAACTAAGTTATATGACAAAACTGTAGATGTTGTTCCTGTAAAATGAGATGGCTGTGATTAGAAAGCAGCTGTTTGAAGCTGTAATGCTGATAGCCAGTTAAGCTCTGGAATAAGATGCTGTGATCAATGACTCCAGTTGTGCCTTGCTTGCCTGCTCCAGATTTGAACTCAGCCAGAAATCTCTTTTCAGCCTGAAGGAAACTTACACCTACTGACACACAGGGTTATTATCCATGAAAGATCTGTTTAGAGGTACACATTACTCACACCCTATCTGCTCTGGTGAGACCCCACCTGGAGTGCTACATCCAGCTCTGAGGTCTCCAACACAGGAAGGACATGGACCTGTTGGAGCAAGTCCAGAGGAGACCACTGAGATGATCAGAGGGATGGAGCACCTCTCCTATGAGGAGAGGCTGAGAGAAATGGGTTTGTTTGGCGTGGAAAAGGAATAGTTTTGAGGTGACCTAATTGTGGCCTTCCAGTACCTGAAGTGAGCTGACAAGATGGAGAGGGATTTACAAGAGCATGGAGTGATAGGAGAGGATGATGGAATGGTTTCAAACTGAAAGAGAGTAGATTTAGATTAGATATTAGGAAAGAAATTCTTTACTGTGGGGGTGGCAAGGCACCAGAACAGGTGCCAAAACAGAGAAGCTGTTTATGCCCCATCCCTGGAAATGTTCAAGGCCAGGCTGGATGGGGCATGGAGCAACCTGGTCTAGTGAAAGGTGACAGGCATCCAAATCTCCATGGCAGGGAGATTGGAACTAAGGAACCTTTAAGGTCCCTTCCAACCCAGATACACAAACTAATTGATAAAATGTTAAAAGAACATTATTCAGGTCATCGAGTCAAGTGTTCAAGGCACTACAGTGATTCAGCTTATTAGTGATTATAATGCCATTTTTATTTATATTTATGGTCAGACTTGTTTTTTGTGCAGAACACTTGTTGAATTCAGTGTTTTCCCAGATCAGGTTCTGTGCTCAGTCATGGCTATATAGTAGGGAAGACCGTTTTTTGCAGAACTTGGTGGATCCTACTCTTCTCTTCCCATCATAATTTTTCCTGATTTTCACCTCATCACTAACTTTTCTCTTAGTTACTTTGTTCAGCTAATGCTACCCTGCCAGTCTCTAAGTCTGCACTCACAGTGTCTCCTTCCATTTCCATACCATTTATTCTCAATATTTTGACCTTTTTGCCATTCAACTTCAATATCTCTTTTCCAAAGAGAGCTGGAAGGTTGCCTAGTGCTTTTTCTTACTCTTGTCCAAATCAGATTTTCAAACATGCCTGGTAGTTGTTGTGTAATGCACACATAACACTGCCAAATAACAGTGTGAAGATTCTCCTTACTTGCCATTGTGATAACTGTAATTGTTCACTGTTCTCTGTAAGCAGTGAAGTAGATGGTCATGTATGGTTGTTAAACTTCAGATTTTCTAATTGTCCAGTAAGTATAAAATGTTACATTATATTACATTATGTAGCACATATGAATAGAGGCTTGTCTAATAAGTAGAGCACTGGATCGCAATTAAGAAGCATGGAATCCTTTTTAGCTAACCACATGATTCCAGGGTTATAGGTTAATGGTGTGTTTTTCTGTCAAGTTCCTGGAGGAATAAAGAGCCTTTCGTAGTTATGGGGATTTATGGAAGCTTTGATTGAACACGGGACAGTACACCACATTTATTTATTATTAATATATTATAATTCTGAAGCCATGAGATTTTTTTTCTATATATAGCATACCAACAAGTGAGTCTAATGAATATTTTTCTATTTTCATAATGTTTGGGGGAATATGTAATACATTTTTTAATTTTTGAAAAAACTTGGAAGATTCCTTCAGTACTTGGTGGGAAATTATAAATTTAATTTACGAAAAAATACACTTGGATTCTTGGCCATGTAGTTTTGTGCTCTGTGGGAGACATCCATGGATATAGATATGTTCTCACAAACATCTGAGAGAAACGCTGAGCATCTATCCCTGGTTTAATTCGCTGCTTGGTCTGAGATCTTGGAAATGCTGTTGCTGAATTTTTGCATCACAACTAGACCCCCTTTGATGTACATGTACAAAGATGATGATGCTATATTTATTGTGCTTTTGCAAAGACTGTCCACATCTGACTGTTGGAATTTCAGCATTACTGAAGAGCAGCTAAATACTTAGCATTGGTTAGAGGCCTAATTTTCATAAGGTTTTCTGCAGACATTAAATGTTATTCTTTTTGTTGCAGGTGTCTGATAACAAAACTTCCTTGCCTCCAAAACCTGGAGGTCTGGCTACTGGCAGTAATGTACAACCATCACTATCCCCTTCACCATCACCTGGATTTCACTCAATTGCTATGGGAACAACAGGCCACAGGTCAAATTCCCCATCCCTGTTTGGTACTGAAGGAAAGCCAAAGACTGAGCACTTGAGCCAAGGTCAGACTGCCCTGGAAGAGCTGAGAACACAAATTAGGGAGCTAAGAACCATCATTGAAACCATGAAAGACCAGCAAAAGTAAGTACTGCAAATCACAGCTGTAGGTGGGATGGATCCATTAGTGCATAGCGATGGCAGTTTCTGATTGAGTTTGCCTTCATGAATATTACTCTGCACAGCTGGCCATGTGTTTGTGAGTGATTTTCATGTGACAGAACATATTCAGGAGTGAGAACCTCCGCAAAAAAGACCTGCACTATCCACCAGCTTTTTTTTCCTGTGTTATGACACAAGTAGATGTTTATGGGGTGTTAAAAAAGTTAAGTTGCAAGCTATAAGCAGTGAATGTTGTTTTATTTGTCAATAACTAACTGGGAACTCATGTGCATTGATCATAATAAAAGGGGTGCGTCTGTTATAGTTGTAGTACAAATTGCTACAAGCTTCTAAAGTTATTAATTTGTTATATGACTGTAAGTATATTTGCCCAGGAAGCTCATGTTACAAAAGTAGTAATTGAATTGCGACGAGGTCATCTGAAGGCCTTTGTGTTTATCGCCCTGAATCTTAATATTTTAGCTTTGGGCGCCTTTGTTTTCTTTAAATTGCTCATTTCTTAGGAGAAACTGGGGCTGGCATGTAACTTTTGATGTTCCTGAGAATATTTAATGCTTTGGAAGCTAAACCTTCACTTACATTGTCAGTTGTGTGTAGCCCAGGCAGGAAAAAGAAAAGGGCAAGCAGCGTGCAGAGACTGTGGCGGAACAGAGGTGTGCGGAGTTTGGGAGAAGATGCGGGAGGGCATGGTTCAAGCTGGATGTAGCCAGCAAGCCCCACGGCCTCGCCTCTTAGGCTGACCCTGCTCCTCTGGTCTCCCCGGCCCTTCTTGCAAGGGCAGCTTCCACCTACTGGTATCTGTCCTAAGGTGAGATCATTCAGTGGGAACATGAGATCGTGTCTGCTCCTTATAACTATGTTCCCTTTCCCAACAAAGAAGAATGACAGAAAATCCATGTTTGGGATAATTACATCTTATAAATGAAATTGAAGGTTACATTGTATTGCTGGCATAAACAGCTTTTAAGCGGCTTAAGTATGTGATAGGATGGGCAGGATTTGTGTTCCCAGTACCTATAACCCACCAACAGTGAATACATCTACATTTTTGTATGGAAAAAGGTAACTGGGTGCTGATACAATGTTGGTACAGCTAGGCCAGAGCAAAGCCTGTGGATGCAGGGCTGTCAGGAGGCATTAATCATTAGCCATGTGGGATGGGGCGGGGTACTGTCCCATAGCGAGTTTTACTTCTCTCTGCTATAGCCTAGAGTTTACAAGAGAATGCTGACTTCAATTAAATGTTCAGAGGAAAAAAAATAACTTGTGAAGTGGGGTAAATATGTCTCCAAGAGATAATATTTTTTATTCTACTAGTGTGATCATTTCCATCCCAAGCTTTTTTTCCATTCTTTTAACAGAAAAGAGATTAAACAGTTACTCTCAGAGTTGGATGAAGAGAAGAAGATCCGTCTACGATTGCAGGTACTTACATTGTTTTTAATGTTGGGGATGTGTTGGCAGTTGATTTAGCCTGTCATGGGACATAAAACTCTGCTAAGATATTTAGATTCCAGTGAATCAAAAACTACCAATATTTCTGAAAGGGATATCTGTTCCCTTCATAGCATTACAAGTTTGTGTCATATATATTGCAATATTGGGTTTTTACTGAAAAGCCTGATAATTATCCAAAAATTTATCAGCACAAGTAGACAAATTTTAAAAATTTAAACACAAGACTCAAACTATGATTTTTTTTTTCAGTTCAGTTTTAATTGTTTGATTTTGTCACAAATGAAATCATGCCTTTTTAAGTTACTTACTTTCTGCCAAAGTTTTATATTTTGTAGTAGGCTTGTCTCAGTGCTTGGAATATTTCATATAGCAAGATTTTAATGTCTGCTTTACAGACTGACTCAGGTTATTTTTACTGAAGCATCCTGAGCAATATAAAAGAAGGGGCTCTGATTAAGAACCCATACTGCATAGGTTTTACAGTACCATAGCTCTAGATGTTGTGCTGGTTTAGTAATTTACCAGGTATCCTGCTGCCCTGCTTGAGAGATTCATGGAGCTCAGACTTTGCTGGAATCATTAGCAATGCTGCTTTGATGTGGAATAATGTTGAAATGACTGCTTTTGGGGGTTTTAGAGAGTGATTTAAACAATGCCCTCAACAACCTGCTTTAGCTTGGTCAGGCAGATGGACTAAAGGTTCATTATACGCCCCTTCCAACCAAAATTATTCTTTCTAATCTGTGCTATATTCTTCTATTCCATGTACCTGGTAAGTAGTTTTGTATTGATTGTATTTTATATTTTTATGGTATAGGGCAACTGTACTTCGATCTAGGGATAAAGTTGAATTGTAATTTCACTAGACTGTTCCCTCTGTAAAGCACTTGGGAACATGGCAAAGCATGGCAGAACAGGGGATCCTCAATGTCTATGCTCCAGGCCTGTCTAAAGGACTTTATGTATCCAACCACATATCAACATGACTTCTAATAATACACAATTCTTGTTCAGCTAAAACTGAAATTTATTCAGATAAAACCCAGTGAACATTTTTAATAGCCATTGTTGATTTAGTCTAACAGGCCAGATTATTCAGAGTTATCCAGAGATAACTTTACATGTTTATGCAGAGACCTGCACTGATGGGTTTAAAATTATGATCTTACAGCTGAATGCTCTTACTCCAGTTCAAATATTGCTTATACTGGTAAGTATTCAGATGCTAGCCAAGATGGCACTATTAGCTTTACATGAAGATGAGAGTCAACAACAAAAAAAGTGTCATTAGTTTCAGAGTGCTCTGATAGACATGAAGTAGCACAGTTCTCAGCCCACATATTAAAGAAGACTGCCTTGATGATGGTGCAGTTGAACACAGGTTGAAACAGGTGGGTCTCAATAAACCTAGGACCCCTGCCTTAGTGCCTTAGTGTTTTAAGTGTCTGTCAGAGGGACCAAGTGTACAAGTGGGGCTGCTGATGGTTTCAGCCACATCCTTTTAAGCATGCCTGTACATTCTTCAGAGCCTTTAAGGTGCCTGGGCACAGGCTTGATGCTTGTAGAAGGCAACCACCATTCCTACAGCAAGAACCCTCCCTATAGGAGAGAGACAATGGGTTTGTGTCTCTGTGACCAACAAGCTACCTGTGCTCGTTGCCAGCAGTGCAGTTTATTGTGCTGCAGCTGCTGGTGCAGGGACATGGTGCTCATTCTTCAGTAATGCCAGGCAGTGAGCTGTGTGGCTTGTAAATATTGTCATTTAAAGAGATTGCAAGGTCTTGCAGTGCATTCAATGATTATACTTGTCATGGTCTGAGGGAGGAAGCTGTGAATGGTCATCTTACGCAGTTAAGAGGCACCTCAATTTGTGAAATCTATGGAAAGAAGAGTGGTATAAAACCTGTAGTTGACACCTGTGGACAAGAGGGAATGTGCTTTTTAAGTGGCACCAACTGTGCCTCAGTTTGCTAAAGAATTGTATTTAATCAAATACTTTTTCTTCTGTTTGTTTTTAGATGGAAGTTAATGACATAAAGAAAGCTCTTCAATCAAAGTGAATACTTGATAGGTGGAATGTTGCATTATTTTTCATGACTGAGACTCAAATTTTTGCCCCAGCCAAAATAACTTTGTGCCAAATGATTTAAGAATTGCCTCAACATCCATTTATCTGAAGGATTAGCACAACAGTTTTTGATAGCACAACAAGAATACCAACAAGAACAAAATTTCTACCCACAGCCGTGCTGTACGGCATTAGTTGTGACTGAAATTGATCTTGTGCTAAAGGCTCTCTACTTCAAGATCCTAGGTAAAATGAAAACTCAGGCAGTTTAGTCCATAGTGGTACTATTTTGATGATATTTTTCCATAAATAAAGTGTATTTCAGATTATCTGTTTACAAGCTTTATGATTTTGACTTTTGGTTTTTAATTGTCTTTTGTCACAGAATTTAAAATGTTTGTATTTCATATAGCCAGGAATGAATGTTAATGTTGGGGCTGGAGGGATTATTTTTGCTTTGAGATTGAACAGCCTACTTTTTGTTATGGTTTTAAGTTCTGTTAAATATGCAATTTTATGTGCCCAAATCCCCTACAACTTAAATTTACATTGTGTACAGTAATGTATTTACAAGAAGGAAACAAACCAACAGAAGTCTGGTCTTTGCAATGATTTGTGCCTTTCTTTGCCACACACTGACTGGAGCTGGTTGAGGCCAGGTCTCCCTATGTAGCTTCCACGATGACTCCTGTCCCTGGTGTCCGGCGGAGGTCACCTTCCCAGCTGCTCGGTCAGGAGAGCGCATTTGTGCCAGGTGGCAGGACAAAAGGGCACAGCTGAGAGCAGCTTTGTCTTGAGCAGCTGTGGCTTTTTAGCTTTCCTGGTTTGGATAGGCCTCTCCCTCAACCTGAATGTTCATCTCCGCTTGATTTTCATTAGATGATTTAAACACCCACCTCTGTCCCCAATTTTGCACAGAGTGAACAGAATATGCATTATTAAAGCAAAAATAAATAAAAGTAATCTATAAAACATAAATTAAAAGTTGTATTATTTCATGCACAAGGTTCTCTGTCGTGTGACAGTGTTTCATTTGCTGTTGACATGATATTGTTTGCTACATAATGTTGTACACTTACAGACTGATACACTTCATAGTCCTACTTTTGCAGCAGTAGGACTTTGAGCAGTAGGACTAAGAAACAAAATGTTTCTTCTCAACATTTTGTTGAACCTGATACTTACTTCAGTTTCTCTGTTTGCTTTCATTCTTTCAAAATTTCACATTTTCCTGGCTGTGGTTTCATGTGTTCTTCACTCCACAGAGTATCTCATATCTTGTCAGCAATCTCTGTTAAGTTTATAAAGTGTTTAAAAACAAGTATTTTTGCATAGCATGGAGTGAGTGGGTAAGTGATGTTGGTGATACCTTAAAGTAACAAAACCCCACACACAAAGGATCTACTTGTCATCCCATCAAATGCTAGAGCTGGCTCCAGCAGCACACCCTGTATCAACATGAACCACCCTTCTTGCCAGGAGCTGAGTGAGATGTAGTATGCTGTTGGCTGGTCACATTCACATATGGTTGGCAGAGTTCCCATAATCTTTTTGATATGCACAAATATATAAAATACACACTCCACCACGCCCGAATCCATTTTTATGGGTCTCAACTGGCAGTACACACCCTGACTGTTGAGATGATTTTTTCTTCCAAAGCATCTGCTTCTATTGTAACAGTGGTGTCTGAGATTTAGAGATTGAGTGGTGAAACTTGAGAATTTTCTTTTTAACGTCACAATACATTGCTCAGTGTATTCAAACAGAAACACTAGTAAAATATTTTATCACTGAAATGCTCTTATGTAACATTTCTAAATATCTACATTAAAATATTTTTGTACAAAGAATGAGAGTCCTGCCATAGCTTTCCAGCAATATGGATTTCTACATTACTTCCATGGTTTTTGTAAATCTAGTAGTAGAGTTAGAAAAACAGAAGGAAATGAAGGGATAAGGAATAAGAATTTTGTTTGGGTTTGTAGTTGTACATTTGCTATATTTATCCAGAAATTCACTGCTCTGGATTTTTAATTCCCTGGAAAGAAATACTACTATATCTGTGGTAAATAAATTATTGATTCCTGAGCTGTGCCACACAAATATATCAGATTTCTCTGATATATATATATATATATAAAGAAGTGTCCATCTTTAGAAAATGAAAGACTGAATTTGGAACTAGATTCTAAAAGAAAAAGAAATACATTATTTTTTTTCTCCTGTTGAGATGATAACTTGTCATTTTATAAATCTAAGTTAGAAGTTCAACAAACGATGCTTTGTAGAAGATGGTTAAATCAGTTTTTGTGAAAATACTTTGCTTTGCAAGTTGGCTTTTCTGGGAGAGGATACTGTAGAAATACAAGCTCTTCTTGCTACATTTCATTATAATAATACAAAGTATTTTGCATAAGACATGGATTTCCCCTTTTTTAAGAATATCAAATATGCATTAAACGTGGATATAAATTATTGCTTTTAAAAGTGTTTGGTTTTATATTTAAAGAAAATCAGAAGACACTGGTAAGCTACAAAGTGATTTTGTTGTGAAAGTGATTAAATATTGTTGTTTGAAGAGTTGTGTAAAATGACTTTTCATTAACACGCACATACCAGTCCTGTACCAGACTTCTGTTTATGTAGAGAAGTCAGGTGTGAAATATCAGGCTCATACCCTTGGATGATAATATCCAAATTCTTGATTCAGTAAATTTTTGGTTATTAAGAAAACAGTTTTATGTTCTCTTTTTCTTCTTCTTTCATTTCTAAAAGGATCAAGTATTTCTTAATGTGAGATCATAGCACTTAGAACTTAAAAAAAAGTTCTACGTGGGAGTAAGATGGCAAATACTTGAAAGTGTATTTTAAATTTCATCATCTGTGGTTTTCTTGTTAATTCATTTGTGAATCGGCAAAAGGTTCAGATGAATTTTTTGTTATGCTAACAGGTCAAAGGACTGTACACAACTCTCTGCAGTCATTTTTATGGGCTAATTTGTGTAAGGAATGTCAATGAGCACCATGCTCTGTGACAGCCAGGAGTGACATTTGTACATATGAAACAAGGTGAGACAGTGCTATAAAACACCCTCAGAAGTTTGTGCTTTGCTGAAGTCACAGAATCCTACCCCTCCTCTTCTTGTGGAGCTGACTGGGGTGGGAGCAGGCCCTGCTGCTCCCTCATGCCAGGCTGTCTGGCATGTGCGTGCAGCCTGTGGCACAGATGTGGCTTTGCTGCTGCAGGGCTGGCGTGGCTGAAGGTGTCTGGTGTTCCTGTGCTTTCCTTGGCCATGCCACATCACAACTGTGCCCACACTTTTAGCCTGTGTCAGGCATTTATGCTCCAGGGCCCTGCCTCGGGAGCAGGGGGCAGTGGTTGGAGGCTCTGGGGTTCAGGGGCCCCACAAACACCAAGCACCACAAGCCAAGGAGAGAGTGTGGCTGGCTGGGGTGATGGGCAGTGCTCCTGCTCGCAGGAATGTTCAGCGGTCTCTGCAGGGCCAGGAAGAGCTATGAGGACTCCAATGTCTGCTTCTCCTCTGTATAAGGACCCTGGGGCTGGACACTCATATCAAGAGGCTCATTGATGAGGAAAGCGTGAAGGCTGTTGAGAAAGATGATACCTTTCATACAGGAGAGCTGTGGTTCGAAACCAGCAGGAATTTTGTTTAAAGCAGAAACATCTACTTTACAGCTTGGCACTGAGGAGGCTTTTCAACTGTGTGGGGGTGGCAGCAGTGCTGCTGGGCACCAGCAATTCCCATAGGCTTTTGCGAGGACAGGGACCTCCAAGCATTGACTTCTGCTCATTGCAATCCTTCAGTTAAAAAGAGCCAGAAGAGCTGAATTCCCCACACAAAACATTGGGTAATTGTATCCATTGTTATTAATACCCTTCAGCCAGAACTTAGATTTTGCTTGGCAGCTTTTGCCTCAGCTGACTTGAGCTGGCACAGGAATTAGCAGCTGGTTGTTGTGACCTGGCCCGGTCACACCCAGCATCCTGCAGCCGCTTCCCTCCTCCTGAGCTGTACTGTCCCCTCACCAGCCATTCCCTGCCTTTGGAAAATAACCAGCTTCTTCAGGATACCACATCTGAGAGGGTGCAAGCGCTTCCCAGCCTGGAAAAGAGCAACTGAGGAAGCAAAAGACACCATTTAAATGTCGTCAGGAAGCTGCGGTGCTGTGTGGGCGCCAGGGAATGAGCGGCCTCGGTACCGCCAGCCCTGCGATGGCCCTGGGCCATCGTCCCCTCTGCTTTCTACTCAGGGAACAAAGCTTACTGCACCCCCTGCACACGCTGCTGTTTGCTGTTCTCTCTTTTGATGAAGGTGATTTCCAATCCAACGCAGACACGAACTTTCAGAGGTAGTGAGTGTAAACCACAGGTGGCCTCAGGAAGAGACCCTTGAGAGACTTTCTTTATGCTGCCTCAGTCAGGCTTTTCTTGAGCCAATGGTGCAGCTGAGTTACCCCTTGAAGTGCTCACAGTTCCACAATTGAACGGCGTGAGGGGATGGAGTGCAAATAGGTGAACTAACAAAATGGCTAACAAAATGGCTCCTGTGAACTTTTATTTAAAGTATTAGAAATTAAATCATATTATTAAATGTGTTAGCAATGTAGGATGAAAAAATTTAAAATGCAAATTAATTATATTGAATTGTTACCCTACAAACTGGAGTGATTAGTATATTTTAGCAAGCTATTTAACTATAATTCTAGAAAAATCACTAGATTAGTAAGAGTAATTGTCCTGGCACACTGTAAAGGCTACAATAGAGGGGGAAGGCCTACCAATCCCTCTCAGCCCCCTCGGATAAGTAGGTTTTGAGCTCTATTATCTTCCCTTTTTTCATGTAGGAAAAGCAACTGGAGAATATAGCTGATAATAATCACAGGAAAACAAAATTGGCATTTATCAGTGTGATGTTAAAACATCTAATAGGCTGTTTCTTGGAGGAGAAAACTTGAAAATTAGAACACCAAAGGAAATTAGATAAGAATGAGCAGACTTCAAAACCAATTTTGAATATCAGGACATTAAAGAAACATCTGTTCACAAAACTATCTCTGGTAAAAGCCCTTCACTGAGCCCAGAGCCAGCATTTTCACTTGGTATGGGAGATCATATTCCTCAGTACAAGCCCTTCCCTATGTCCTTCATCCCAGCTAGCAAACATCCTTTTAGCAAAGGGACTCATCAGGCTGATCTTCACCTCCTCGGGTAACAGCAATGAAGAGTTTGGGATTTTGTGAAAGCACTTCTTGGACTTATCTTAGAGCAAGTGAAAATTAAGCTGTGCAGCTGTCCCTCCTACAGGATGACCCATTACCTGGGTTTACCCCCTTCCAGGGATGGTTTTCATTGCAAAGGGCACACCAAGTAAAGGAGAAAACTCAATCACACAATTTGTACACCATGCTCTTTCTCCTAGCACAGAGCACCAAGCAGAGAAAAACAGCTAATGCAGGATAAGTAGAAAAGAAGGTGCACTTGCATGGAAATTGCTACTGCTAGATAATTTGGCTGCTCTGGATTCAAAGAGCTCAATCTATAGAGCTCAGCCAAATTTACTCTTGGAAGCACAGGTGCAGCTATTTAG